TGGTGCCGGGCCATCGCTACGGACTCCAACTGTTGGAGTACTACTTCCGCCACCACACTGGAAATCGGGGATCCCATAGGCGTCCCTTTTATTTGCTCAAACATGGTGCCTTGGAAGGTGAAGTAAGTTTTTAGACATATCTCCACCAACCTTAGCAGGTCCTCAGTTCTAAGAGAGTCCTGCTGCTGTTCTGGGCACTATATGTATGTATGTATGTATGTATGTATGTATGTATGTATTTATGTATGTATATAAGATAGGTAGATTGATGATAGGTATGTGTAGCTGTGTATCCATCCGTCCATCCATCATCTATCTATCTATCTATCTATCATCTATCTATCTATCTATCTATCTATCTATCTATCTATCTATCTATCTATCTATCTATCTATCATCTATCTATGATACACAAACACACACATATTCCTTCAGAGATATTAGTTGAAGCTGAGACAATAGTGAGGCAGAAGTGTAGGAGCTGTGGTGGCGCAGTGGTGAGAATGCGGCATTGCAGGCTAATTCTGCCGACTGCCAGGCGTTCGATCCTGACTGGCTCAAGGTTGACTCAGCCTTCCATCCTTCCGAGGTTGGCAAAATGAGGACCCAGATTGTTGGGGGCCATATGCTGACTCTGTAAACCACTTAGAGAGGGCTGTAATGCTCTGTGAAGCAGTATATAAGTCTAAGTGCTAGTGCTATGGAGATTCTCAGTCACCCAGGTCATGGTTGTCCCAAAGGTGTTTTTTCAAAAGGCAACGTTGAACTGAAGAAGCTTCGTGGATGAGAAGCGAAACATCTTCAAGGAAAAACCAAGAAAGTCCAATTGTCTTTTGGAAAAAGCACCTTTGGGGGACAGACGTTTTCACTGTTTTGGTTTGTTCCATTGTCAGCCAGATGTTCAGACTGGATTTAACATTTTTGTCCACTGAGTTCTTCCCAAGGACCTGAGATAGGCAGATGTGGATGCTTGAAGATATCATGGCAGGATGTCAGCTGTTCCAAGTAAAGCTGCCTTTTGCAATTGACCGATGGTGATTTTTGTCAATGCCGAGGGCGTTCAAATGGTTTTTGGGATGGCACCGAAGGAACCTATTACTATTGGTGCTACTTTTGCTTGCTTTCACCACTGTCCTTCTATTTCTGTTAGCAGATCTTTGTATTTTGTTATCTCCTCCAGTTCCTTCTCTATTATTTCTATTGAGATGTAACTTGTATTAGCATTTTTCTTCTGTTTTTATATCCTGAACAACTAACTTCCATATCTGGGGATAATGGCTGGGCAGAGAGACAAACCAGATAGACTGGCAAGAGGGGGATATAGAGACATAGATCAAAAATAAGCTAACACAGATAGTCCTTGATTTACAACAGTTCATTTAGTGAAAGTTGAGGATTACACGTAATTGCAATTTTATTTCTTTAAGTTATACCTGCAGTTTAATACCTCATTCTCAAAGTTTGTGTGTTGCCCCAGAAGGATTCAGTATGACTGACTGAACAAAATCTGTATTAGCATCTCATTATTATTATTATTTTTAATGAGATTTAATTAACCGATATCTATTATTCATCCTTATTTCCTCTACAGAGTTAGGTCTGTATATCAGGATCTTTTAATCTTTTCCTTCGCCTCAGACAATGCCGTGTATTTCTACCGCTTCATATACACCACAAT